ATCGCAGGCTGTTGAACCTGATCGCAGGCTAAGCACGTGCGATCGCCTTTACATACGGGGAATTTAGTACAAAAACAACAAGTTTTATATTATTCGATTGAACGTGTATTATATTCCATTACTCGAGGATATTTCTTTTCGAACTGAAAGTTAGTTATGTTTTAAGTATTTTACCTTATTATGTGATATTAAAGTTTATATATTTTGAATGTTATCCATGCGTTAAATTAAACGAACGTTGAATGTTAAGCGAGAAATTTCGAGATAGATTATGCGACGTGCATAACATGGCCCCCAACGTGGGGCTGACTTTTTCGAAATAAAGTCGCCCAATCGAAACGTTGTTTCATGCACTTTACAAAAGGATAAGCAATTATATTATAATAATTTGCTTTATAAATACAAACACAATCCGAAAGAAAGTTGGCAAACTATAGATCGAATCCTTGGGCGAGGCCATAATAAATCCTCTATATCCAGCATTAGACAAAATGATAATATTATTTCTGGTTCTAATGAAATAGCTGAGACTTTCAATGAATATTTTTCTACTATCGGAGACAAAATTGCAAATTCCGTTGATTCTGGAAATACTCACTTTAGTTCATACATAAGTAAATCATCCACGACTTTTGAGTTTGATACTGTATCTGTTGATAAAGTTTTACATTCATTTCATGCTTTATCCTCTTCTAAGGCAATCGGAGTTGATAAAATTCCAATAAAAGTATTGAAACTTTCTATAGCCATTATAGCGCCATCTATGACTAAATTATTTAATTATGTAATTCAGAATGGGGTCTTTCCTCGCGATTGGAAGGTAGCCAAGGTTATACCTCTTCATAAGAAAGGTCCCAAAAATTTGTTGGATAATTATCGCCCAATCTCTATCCTTCCAGCTATCAGCAAGGCCTTCGAAAGTATACTTTATGAGCAACTACGTATACATGGCTATTTATCCAATGCTAGCATACTTTCGAAATGTCAATTCGGTTTCACACGATATCACTCTACAACTACGGCTCTTCTTGATAGCACTAATCAATGGTATTCAAATATGGATAAAGGTTTGCTTAATATTGTTGCTTTTTAAATCTTAAAAAAGCTTTTGATACCATTGATCATGAAATCTTGATTGAAAAGCTAAATAGGTATGGGGTAAAAGGCATTCATTGGGGTTACTTGAATCATACATAACAAGTCGGTCACAAAAATGCTTTATAAATGGTACATTATCTCATTCTAAACCGATTAAGTGTGGAATTCCTCAGGGATCGATTTTGGGGCCACTATTTTTTTTGGGTATATTAACGATCTGCCTAATTGTTTAAAATACTGTACACCGAGGATGTTTGCAGATGATACGACGCTCACTGTGTGTGGCAAATCCACACATGAAATTTCGTCTGCTTTGAATCATGATTTAAATAATGTTAACGATTGGCTAATGGCTAATAGGCTTTGTTTGAACCTTAGCAAAAGGGAATATATGCTAATAGGATCCAGGCACAGCATCAATAATCTTGTTGATAATCCTTGTATTTCTGTTGATGGTAAACTTTTGAACCGAGTGATAGTGACTGAGTCTCTAGGAATTCATATTGACCAATTTCTCTCTTGGGATTTTTATATTGAGAAATTGACAAAGAAAATTTCTAGTGGCATTGGGGCGATTTCTAGGTTAAAACCGTTTGTATGCAGAAATACTCTTATTTCTGTCTACAACGCTTTAGTTCAAACATATTTTGATTATTGTTGTGAGGTGTGGGATCCGATTGGCAGTGTTTTATCTGATAAATTGCAGACTCTTCAACATCGGGCAGCAAGAATAATTATGGGTTACCCAAATGAGCACGGATGCTTAGAAGCTGCTTTGACTGCGCTCGGGTGGAAAACACTTAAGGAACGTCGATTTGAATCTAAAGCCAGACTCATGTATAAGATTATTCATGGTTTTGCACCTACTGCGTTTACTGAAATATTTTCTAGTGCTTCAGTTGTCAGATCTCATGACTACAATATACGTAATTCTGACATGAAGCTCAATCTTCCTTTTCCTAAAACGGAATATTTAAAAAAGAGTATAAATTTTAATGGTGTTAAATTGTGGAACGATTTACCTATTGAAGTTAGAAACGCGAAAAGCCTAGGAATTTTTAACTCGCTTTTATGTGCAACTAGCCTGTCACGATCTACTAGTTTGTAAATATTTAACTTTGTATATACGTGTCTTGTTGTTTATTATGTGTTTTAAATCTTTTCACCACGCCCCCCTTGGAAATCAATTTGTATTGAAGGGGTTAGCGTGTTTAAATAAAGTTTTACCTACCTACCTAAATCGAACCCGAAATTACGAAATGGCCGACGAAGTGAAGGAAAAATTGAATAGGCTTCGTGTCAGATAGCCCGCGTGCAGGCCCAAGGGAGCAGGCTCAAGGGAACTTGATAGTTGGCCTGCAAGCAAGGCCCGGTATTTTGTAAAACGCCCCTTTTCATAACACGCCCCATTCGCGCGTCAATTGTCAAAAAAGAACCAATGACAGCACCCAAATATTAACAAACAAACTCGCATTAAAATGTTGCGGGGTTTTCTCTGCTTATTCAGAACATAAACAATGTGTAAATGGCTGTGTTTTAACTCCAAAAAAGCAAGCAACGCAGTCAGCAATTGCCAAATTTGCAAGTGCTCATTTTCAACTAAAATCGGCACAGGCAAATTAGGACGAATTTCAACAGAAAACCAGTCTCAAACTTCAAATCGTGAGGGAAGTCGTGCGACCACATTAGCATTTATATTAATGTGTGCTTCGCTGTTGCCATTGTTATAAATAAATTGTCTCACTTATCAGATCATGTGTGCAATTCTTGTTGGCGGCGGAAAGTACGAAATTTATTTCAGTTATTTCATTTGGTAAAGAACTCTACAAAAGAAAAGAGCGTTCAGAGTCCAGATCGTTTCGTTTCAAACGGCAACAGTAATACCGTCTTCTGTTTCGCTCTCTCAGCGAAGCCTTGTAAATCGCAAAGTGTTTCGAATAGGCTTAAATGCAACTGCATCTCAACATCAACCAAAAGATAATTTTCTTGAGGAACG